AATGCATAGTTTTCTTGATCATAACGGAACGTATCATAATGACTTTCTAAAAAGGGTTTTCTTAACTTTGGTGTACAACGACATAGTTTGATTAAATCATATAAATTTTCTGCTTTAATTGATAATATTTCCATATTTGATGGTACATGGATCATATCTTTGTCTCCAGTGTTAAAATAAAAATCAAGTAATGAGCATCACTTTAATACAGGTAAGGACCATACAAGAGGAAATAATTGTTGCATATTTTGATTCCAAGAAAATGCGTACCAAAATTCAATTTTTAAATTTGTTACATGCGTAATTTGGATACAATTTGAGTAAGTTCACAGATTTTGTCACATTTTAAGGATATATACCGAAGTTTTATGAAATATTCCATGTCAAATCTCTTATTAAACTGTTGTAACTAATCGTCGGTAGATAATGTTAATGAACAAATACTATGCACTGTAAACTAGAAAATAACTTATAGAGTATCATAAACGATATTCTAGGAAAGTCCATACAAATTCCTAGACGAATTTCTACTTTCTTGAAAATAAACTGTTGATATTCAAGTTTCGATTNTTTCTAAAAGTTTGAAATTCGACGGATGAATAATAAAAGTTTGAAAATGCTTTAGCTTTTTCAAAGTCGATTTTCTATAAAATAGAATTTCAAAAAAATTTACAGTGTGAGGTACAATAATATAATTTTATCAAAATAATATGTCAGAACGTCATTCTCCACACACTATTCTAACTGAACTTGCAAATGGCGTCTGTGAATAATATTATCCATCTGAGTGTTTAAACCATTAAATGTTAGAAATAGATGCTATGGTGTCAAGTGAGAAAATATGTGATAGAGAATTTCGTTTGATAATTGTTCGAACAACATTTCTAGATCTATGATAAACAAATACTATAGAAAATAAGATTATATCTGCAGTATTGCTGAAAGAAACCTTCGTCATGTTATATATAAAAATAGTTTAAAAAATATTATGCCAGTACTCTAAATTACATTATTATCTAAAATTGATTACATACTATTATAATTATTAATGATTTTCTTTTCTAGTATATCAGTGCAATTTTTACAAAGACAGACGTAGTTACTCACTCTTTCTTTGTTTATGCATGCGCTTCTTTTTTTCAATTTATCTTATGTTGATATTTCGCAGCAACAATGAAATTGTGATTTGAAATTAAGTATCGGTATCAACAAAAGGTGACAGTTCTCCATTTTTCTTCCTTATCTGTGTAGCATGGATAAATTAAGGATTCTTCACAATGTAACAAGATCAAAATTCAATTCAATTCCTTCCATAATCTGAGTTTCGAAAATATTTCTGAAAAGCCTTGTTATATGCATCGCTACCAAATTTAATTTCCCCTTCTCCATATATGTTACGGTCAAAACTGAAATTCGAGTTTTGACTAGAGAAATATTGATCAAAACTGGAATATTGGCAAATCTGAGATATTACAAGAGTGAAATGCAATTGTTATTTAAAATTGATAATCATGTTTTTTATATAATATCATATTGTTATTTAAATTTTTATAATCATGTAAACTTATTAATTACTAAAAGAACGCAGCCAAATGCGTTAACTCGTTCTTTTCTATATTCCGAGAGTTTAATTCTTTTATGTAATTGTTCTCGTCTGATCAGATTTAGATGCTACATTCGATCATCTTGTGAACATTTTGCCCGCCGTTCCTGTTGGGTCAGATTATATAAATAAGCTGTATTTGGCGGTAATCAGCAACCATTTTAACTGGCAACTGTTTTGTAAAGGGTATTATAAAGAATCTTATCCTTCTGCTTAAAGACTATTACTCTCTTTTTGAATATTTTCTACTTCGTTAATTACTAAAGTATTATCGACAAGTTCCTGTTCAGCTTTAAAGGTAATTAAGTTTTAATTATTCTTTTAAATAATTAGGATGTCAGCTGTTGTTTCATCATCTGTTACTACCTTGTCTTCTACAGACACTTCATCTCTTCCTTGCGCACCTGGTATAACTGATGGTTCTGAAAAAGGGGTTTTTGATGATGCTGAAAAATATGTTGCTTCATTACAAGAAAAGTATGAGAGAAAACATTCATAAGAAAAGAAACATATGGTAAAATACTCAAAAGTTTGCTATTAGAGAAAGGTACATCTTCGGAATCAGTTCCTACAAAGTTTGTATTTTGGGCTAGGAAAAACTTTATAATTCAGAAAATTGCTGGAACTGATATTGTTTGTTGTTCGAAAAATAAAAAGCCGCTGTGTATTTACGAATCATTTTCTAATGTAATGAAAGAATGTCATTTAAATGTATCACATGGTGGTAGAACTAAAACTCTAAACGAAATTAATTCGCATTATTCCATGGGTACTAAAGCTGTTGTAGAAATATTCTTAACGCATTATCTCCAGTGTCAACTTCGAAAACCATTAAAACAATCAGTTGTTTCGAAACCTATCATATCATTAGGTGTTATGACACGTCTACGAATTGATTTAATAGATATGAGAACAAGACCTGATGTTGTTTCTGCAGACGTTGTTTACTGTTGGATATTACATTGTATTGACCATTTTTCAAAATTCACTTGGGCTTTTCCATTAGAAAACAAATCAATTCTCACTTTTGATTTTGAAAGGTTTCATATATCTAATAGTTGAGATGCTAGAGGAAGATCAGGAAAAATCATAAATTTTAGATCGAACAAACTGTTTCCCCAAAGAGCTTTTTCTCGAGGTAGTGCACCACTAATTTCACCGTGTTTTACCCGGCTATCTTCGGGAACACGATGCAGTTCATTTCAGGATCGTCTAGAGTTTGAGCTCAAAATAAGTACACAGCAATTTTATTCACATCTCTTAGCTCTCTCTTTCAAATTGCTGTGTACTTAGTAGTTACTCTGAAGTTGTCATCCAACTTATTCAATTTTCGTATATTAATAATAATTTAATAAATTTAAAATTTGAGAAGCCCGTGCCCGTCAAAGGGAAGCAGTTGTCCGCTCATGACCCTCCGCGTGTCTTTCAAGTCTGTTCGTGCCCCTCCATGTTCGTCCGTGTCTTTTCCTACCCGTGCCCGTCCATGCCTGCGGACGGTACGTGCACGCCCGCGGCCACGGGAATTCCCATGCCCGTGTAGATCTCTACTAAGAAGAGCAGTTTGATGCTCTTTAGATTTTTGCGTTCGTTCTTTAACCCTTTACGGCCGACTCCTAGAAGGCGAATAGCAAAAATTCTTTTTGCACATATTTCTTATTGATGTATCGTAAGTATAACAAAAATATAATCTTCGAAACAAAAATATTAGTTTTTACTTAATAACTCTATGTTGCCATTTGGTAACAGCCGGCCGTAAAGGGTCAAAAATTTGAAAAAATTATTGTTTTGCTTTCGATCGTCAAAACGCACTATTTCGTGCTTTTTCGTTTATTTCTAATCTTATTTCAAGAAAAAACAACTTTAACAAAGAAAAGACAAATAGAACTAAAGAACAACAATAAAAACTCACTTTTGACAATATATGTTATCAATGATGATAGTCTTTGAAACAGTTACTTTTTTCATTCAAGCATAGACGTAGTTGGCATTTCGTACAACAAATTCTTGTATAACCAATACAGCCAAGATTTCGACAACGACCTTTTGAAGTATGAATAGGCCAATGATCAAACTTGTCGAGTCGAACACTTGATGGTGGAATTGAATTTGGTACAGCTCGTGATGTTGTTGTTTGATTATTTTCATTTGATGTTGAATCTAAAGATGGACGACCACGTTTTGTTGAAGGTGTAGGTGGTGCAGATTTAAGCATAAATTCAGCAACACTTATACGAAATGATAATAAAGACATGATGTCTCTTTTTTGAATATCAAGTTGTGAACAATGGCGGCAGTACACTAGCCAACCATTTACAGTTGTTAGATCGATAAGATGAAAGATAATTTTAGTATAGTACTTTTTTGAACGACCATTAATTCGATACAATGAAACTAACATGTCCATCAAATCAACACGACCCATGTGCTGGTTATATGCTTTTACAATATTTGGTCGTACAACTTGTATGTGATTTTTTTCTTTTAACGACCATCGTTCAACTGAGTCGATTAGTTGACAACCGTACAATGTAGACAAACAATTAACAGCCTTATTGTCATACCACCTTACTGCACATAATTCAACACCATCAACTTCAGCAACACGATGATCCATTGATTCTCTACCTTCTTTTGATAAATCTTTTTCGCCTTTCATGATCAAACCCGGTAAGCGATTAGCTCTTACCATACCTACAGAATAAATACCTAATTTTTTCAACTCAACTTGAAGTTTAATTGTTGTAAAATAGTTATCAAAAAAAAGTTTACGGTTGATAGAACGTGGTACAGTTTCACATAATTCAAGAACAACTTTTGTACAAAAACCTTGTTCCTGTCTGTCAATATCAGATCTACCTACATAGAAAAGAAAATCATAACAAATGCCACTTTCACCACCAGCTAAAAGAAACATTTTATAACCCCAACGATGAGGTTTCTTAGGCATATGTTGTTTCATTATGCTTGTTCCTTTAAATGGAATAATTTGTTCATCAACACTTAGTTTTTCTTCTTTTTCAATTTTTCTAAAACTATTTTTTACAATATTTAACAATGGTCGAACTTTATGAGCTCGATCATAATTTGGATCAATACGATCGAGTTGATTTGAATTATCAGCAACATTTAAAAATTTTCTGATGTCTAAAAAACGATCTCGACTCATAGTTGATGATATAGATTCTACTCGAGTAGTATTCATCCAAAAATATCGTTGATCCGGAAAACAGTATACTCCACTCATTATCAAAATACCAATAAATTGTGCCATTTCAACTTCAGAAATACGTGCTGGTTTATTTGGATTGGTTTGAACTGAATACAAGTTAGATTTTTCGGTCAAAAGTGTGATTGATTCTTTGCCAAACATAGATTAAAAATAATCAATTCGTTCAAATTCCACATGAATTGGTGGTGGTGAAAAGGTGCCAGTAAAATTCGCTGTTGGAACCACAAAATCTTTTTTTTTCCAATCTATCGTTTTTTTCTTTTTTGATTATTCAATTGAATATTTGCTTGATTATTAGCAGCTGCATCTGATGATAATTCACTATTAATTGCTAACTCATTTCGTAAATTATGTGCAACTTCATCTTCTGACTCAGATGTGTCAACTTCTTCTTCGCTAAACCCATTCGGTACAGCAATAGCCTTTTTAGAAAATGATTTAGCAGCTATCGCCAGAAGTTTCTAGATCAAGAACAGTAATTTATTTTACACTTAGTTTTTCTGTTCAAAATACTACTATTTCTAATTAGAATAGCGAATAAAACTCATTTAGAATTTAGAGTTTAGAATTTTAATTAACGTTCAAATTTGATAAATGATCACTGTGTAGATAACGTACTGCCTATTTATAGTTTGACATAACAATGACAGGAATCGAAAAGAACGTTGAACAATGGAATACGTCTTCCACCAATGATAATACTGCGCGATAGATGGCTTTAGTATCTAATACAAATAACAATAGTACATAATTATTCAGAAAAAATGCGGCCGACTAGTGAGAGATTTCATTGCAAGGACAGTAAATCCTGAATTGTTTTTCTTGTCTCATGGAGAAATAAAAAACTCTCGACAAAAAAAAACAGAATGTTTTTCGATAGCAGTACTTTTCATCATATTTTACGCTTTGATTACAACATGCACGTATACAATCTCACGATTAAAATATGGAAGATGTTTTCTGATAGATGAAAAAATAACTATTTTTTTTCAAAGATGCATATATTGAAGTGAAAACGGTGTAAAATATCTTGATTTGATCATTACAAGCGAAAACAAAATTTGGGAGTTTTTGTCCCTTTACGGCCGGCTGTTGCCAAATGGCAACATCATTGTATTTTATTATTAGAGTACATTGAATAAGCAATCTTAGTAACATAATATGCAACAACTTTACTAACCAAAATGAATCAATAATTGTTTTTTCATATTGATTATTAAAATATACAGAAAAAATATTTTTAAGATTTCGATGACTCTTTGACGTATTTCGAAGAAGTAAGGTATTTATTTTAGTGAAAGTTTTTTTTTGTCTTTTAAATGATTAATTTGTGTTAAAATGTGCCGTACTAATTATCATAATGTGAAAACATAATACACTCTTTGTATAAGGCAATCCATCTCAAAATATTAACTGAATGTTGCCAAATGGCAACATCCGGCGGTAAAGGGTTAAATATTACCAATATGTTTTATAAAATAAAATTTTTGATTTTATTTGCAGTTCATTTACTTGTTATTTGTCCGCTATTTAAAATTGTATTTGTATTCATTTTTTTCTTTTATCTTAGCTCCGTATTAAATTATATCAAATATCAATTAGCAAAAATTTGTTTAAAAAATTGATATAGTTTTTTTCAACAATTAATTATTTTTCTCGTAATTGTCGAATTTTCCTTTTGGTATGTCGGCCACTATATTCATAATATTTTTTTTGCCAAAAAGGATCTTTGTAAAAATTAAAATTAAGTATTTCAGCACAATTAGCTGATCCACATTTACATTCTAATCCTTTTCATAAACTATTTTCTGAATCCATCATACCATAATGATATGTTAATTTTTCTCCAACATGAATATCTCTCAGTGCTACCACCAACTCTTCCTCGTCATCACTAAAGCCACAATTGGGCTCACAACTATGATTAAAATATAAACATTCTTCAGTTATTTGACAGCCATCTTTGAAATACTTTAGTACATCGGATAAGTTATTATCGAGCATATACGTATAATAAATGATACAATCTTTTGATTTTGTATGATCAATTATTAATTTCATTACGTCATCTTTTGTCATTTTACCCCGTTTATCAGTTAATTGATAATAATTATATTTGAACAAATCACATGTCCACACAGATTCATGACGAATTTCTTCTAAAGTCACAACACCTTCCTGATTTTGACCATATTTCTCATTTAAATTGCGTAATTCAAGCTTTTTTAAAAACGACATTGTTATTGACACAACTCACGCATAGAGTTAAGAATAAGTATATTTATTATGCGTTAGTTATACTGTGTCTATACGACAGTGAGAGAGAGAGAAAAGTCGAAAAAAGTATTAGTACCATAGATGCTTATCTTGTCAGTTTAAGGGATTAGATTTTTTCTTCGAAACAGAAGTAAGCATATAGTTAAGTATCTTAAACTGTCATCTTTCAGAATCTGACTTAATTTCCAAAAATCAATGTTTCTGAAGGTTTTGGGAAAAGATTTCTAAAAGCTCTAAAATCACCTTTTCTAAATCTAAAATTTCAATTAAAATTTTTAAGGTTAGTCGTTTTAACAGACATGGAGCTATTTGAGCAAAGTATTCTGATTAAAATGAGATGTTCTGCACATTTGTACGACTTCGCCTTGCAGAGCTATACTTAAAAAGTATAATGCAGAAAACTCTTTACAGAATAACGTTTGATACACAAACGTTAAAGAGATTTTCACTGAAAATTTTAAAGTTATTTATCGTGTCGTTTATAAGTCAATTTATTTTGAATTTATTGCATTATATGAAAATTAAACAGACAAAGCATTTGTTGTAATATGTAAAAAAGTTTAATTCCATATGCAGAAAACGTGTCAAAAATCAAAACCAATTCATTTCTATTTTGGACAGGAAGTTGTAGAAATCATATTGTTTGGACAATGGCAAGCAAATGGTCGAGAACTATTTGGATTAGCAAAACAATATCCGGGTGAACAGTTAAGTGTACAAGCGGCTAAAAAAGAAAAAACGTTTTTTCAAATAAAAAGTGACATTGTTCAAACATACCGCCTCCAGTTAATAACTGACAATTTAGTCCAGTATAGTTGTTGGTGCACGCACAATAATAACTATTATTGGCTACATAACAAGTACCACCGTTTACACATGGCGAAGGATTACACGCGGTGGTAGGACCTAAAAGAAAAAGTCAGAAGTTAAATTTTCTTAATTAAAAGTTTAAATAGTCATGAACACCATGAAATAAATACCCGTTACTGTTTGACAACGGTCACCCGTATAAGGTGCAATACAGGCACAGAAGATTGAGTCAGCATTTGAATAACACTTTCCACCATTTTGGCATGGATTACCGGCACAACGATCTAAACAGAAAAAAAAAATCATTGATAGATATCAGGACTCGTACAACACTCTTGGCTGAGCCAAAAAGTTTTGGTAAACTGATACTATTCTGAAGATATCTTATGTTTACCTTGTACTGTTTCGCAAGTAACGCCAGTCCAAGGTGATTTACAGGCGCAATAAAACGAACTCGTACTGGAATAACACTGACCATTATTTTTGCACGGATTAGAGATACAGTTATCAGTGACAGCTAAGAGAAAAGGAGATGAAGGAGAGAATTGTAAGCTGAACCTTAAATACGAACCTACTGGTGTTGTACATTGTGTACCCGTCCAATTAGGAAGACACGTACAGCTAAAAGAATTTTGTCCGTTTAAACAAACACCTCCATTAAAACATGGAGATGAGCTACAGTAATTACTAGCACCTAAATATAAATTTACACAGTAATATGTTTGAATATTTTGAATAAATATTTTCGAAAGTAATTAAGAGTACTTCCAATGATTTTAATCACTTGAAAAAATGTTATTTTGTTAATAGTTATAATTACCAATATATGTGTCACAAGTTTTTCCTGTCCATCCAACTTTGCACATACAAAGAAAGTCTCCATTAGTAGTCGATTTGAAACAGTCCGCTTGATTTTTGCAAGGATTTGGTGAACAAGCGTCAATTGTGTCTAAAGAAGAGTAATCAATAATATAATAAAGTCTACTTATAGAATAATACCATTACTTATTATTGGTGTTTCACACCGACTTCCCGTCCACATGCCCACACATGAACACACATAATTTAAACCATTTGCCTGACATACTCCGTTGTTGTAGCACGGTTTAGAAGCACATATATTAGTATCTACATACATATGGAGGGATGTTGTTTAGAGTGTATTGTTTGTATAACATTAACTTAACCTTGAATCCCTTACCTATAACAACTTCACAGCGTGCTCCCGTATAGTTCGGAAGACATTTACAGATCGGACTGTTATCAGTTGGATTTGTCAAACATGTACCCCCATTTAAACAAAATGTGGAACCTGATGCACATAAATTTGGTACTAAAGCAGTTGTAACATATACATAAATTTATCATGTCTATATCAGTTTTACTAACTTACTCTGAGATTCACACATAGAACCAGTAAAACCTAGTGCACAGTCGCATTTATAACTAGTCGGTGATTGTGCTACACACGTTCCTCCGTTTTGACATGGGGATAAGATACAGGGGTCTTAAATGAGGGATTTTTTCCGTAATCAATGACTAGAATGAGGTTTTATTTCACCTACCGACTGGTGTATCACATAATCGTCCAGTTAACCCTATAAAAATGACAAATTACAGCCATTAGTGGAGATAAGCGTCACTAGTAGAATCTTATTCTCACAAGATGGCTGACTAATTGAAAAAATTTGGAGGAGATGACATACCTGCGGGACAACTGCAGAAAAATGATGTACTCGTACCATCGATTAAACATTTTCCATTTTTACATGGGTTAGAAGCACATGGATCTAGAAGAAAGAAAGAAAGATTTTTTTCCCCTAAATAGTTGATATTTTCTGTTAAAACTTACCCGATAAAGAGCAGATGGCACCACTATAGCCTGTTAAACACTTACATTCAAAATTGTTTGAAAGAGATATACAGTTACCACCATTTTGACATGGTCGTTCGTAACAATAGTCTAAAGTGATTGATAAATTAGTCAAAACATGTACATGATTTGAGCAATTCACATACCCTGCACTTCGCATCGTTCACCAGAATACGGCTGTGTGCATCGACAAGTCGGTGATTGTCCAGTAATACATACCCCTCCATTTAAACAATAATCCGAGGGGCAGACAAGAGCTGGAAAGTAAAAATAATAGAAAAACATTTTTCTCATCCGACCATATAAATACGACATGCATGAGTATACAACTAATCTGGTTCTTTCATGTGAGCTTCTGGAGTTTGTTGTTCTAACCCTATTTTTCAAATTACTTACAAATATCAAACGGTATATCACAAAATTGTCCAGTGAAACCAGGTTTACAATTGCATCGAAATCCATACTCGTTTGTTTCATCTGCAGTGCATTTACCTTCATTACAAACAGAGTCACCTCCCATAATATCACACAAGCCCTCTAAATATCTATTATTCAATTATTCCATTTACACAGCAATATTATTTTTACCGGCACGAGTTTTTCCAACAAATATGATTATTCCCAACAAGACATACGCTGAATATGACCAATTCATCATCTACGAGAAATAGAGAAATTCCAAATTGTTTCTGGATATGATATTTCTGCAATATCTTACTGTAATCAAAATCAGGAGACGTTATTTATCTCTGAGAATAAAGTAAGAACAACTGATATTTTGATCGCTTTTTTTGTTTTAACACATGATTCATGGTGTCATTGAAAGTACATATAACAAGCTTAAAGTAGGATTGATACTTTATTAAAATCAATTATCTTTTTTAGCGCAGAAGAAAATGGATCCTTCAATTTTAAAACACTAATATAGTACTTTTTTCTTTCCAATACTAATATAGTATTGAGTCAACGTCAAAAAAATTACTTTAGAAGTTGTAAATCAAGATGTTTTGTAGAGTGTTACTCATCGAATCCTTTCAAAGATTGTATTAATTTGATCACTGAATTCAATCTTTTCTTTGAATTTATCAAACTGATTGGGAGTAGATGTCGGTCAGTTTCAGTTCCTATAGTTCCTAAGAACTGGTCACCAGTTCAGTTCCTGTCGAACGGGAACTGGTTCAAATTCAAAATAAAATAAAACCGATATAGCTAGTTATATTGACTTGGTTTAGTCAACTAAACACACCATCTACCTCTGGCGTACTACACAAAGTCGATGTAAGTAGGTTCATCGGTTTTATTTCAGTTTTAATTTTTGAAAAGAACTGGTAGCACTTCGCGTTCTTTTTGAACTGAAACTGTTTCACCCCTAGTTAGGAGAATCGAAAAATATTAATTAATTATGATTACTTCTCACATATATTTCCAGTTCTAATTAAAGAACGATAAAAAACTGATGCTCACTGTATTAGTAAGGAATCAACTCTTGTGTCAGAAAAAAATTGAATAAAATCTTTTCTTATCTCAAAATGGAAAAAGGGCACTGTACAGACAAAACTATTTTCAGTTGATCTTTTTCGGGTTAGTATTTTCTAAAAGGTAGAAACATGTTTTGTCAGTGAGCTCTCATATCCTTTACTTGTGAAGAGTTTTTTCAGCGCATTCGGAGAATGCAAAAAGTGTTCGAATCTGATCCACTTGTGCAAAATCGTCGTAGAATGTGGGATGCATAATGTAATATCGGCTTGCCACCTTCAGATCACAAGTGAATCCAGTTTGGGAAGCAAGCGTCATTTTATTATTCACATGTCACATTCAGCTTTTTCGTTGAACAGAAGTTTGATTTGCTGTTGTTGTAATTCACTTAATCTACGTTAGTGGATTGTCACACCCTTTCATTTTTACATTTTTGGTTGCACATCGTACATACATTATTACCGGCTGTAGTTGGAGTAGTAGCAATTGATGGGTCTTTTGTTGTTTTACTTGATAGTGATGCACGTTCCTCAGTTCGCCTTCTCACCGCCTTTTCCTTATATTCTTTTATGATTTTATGAACATCTCGATGAACTGGTTGATTTTTAACGTTTTTGTTGATCATTTCTCTCCATCGGTCTTAGTCTAATGTGTCTCTTCTCCAGTTTTTAATCTCCAACTTTTCGATATCATCCTTGACCTTGTCGTGCCATCATTTCTTCACTCCACCTTGGGTCGTCGAGAGTTTGGGAAATAAGAAAAAGAATCTTTTTTGGCAGCATAGGCTCACCGTTAGTATTCTTCGATTTACGTGCCCAAATTATTTCAACCTATTCCTTCTCATGAAGTTATCTAGACTTGGTTGACCAGTTAATTCTAATACCAGATCGTTCGGCATTCGATCGCCTAATGTAGCGCCAAGCAGTGTTCTTAGGCATCCCATATAAAATGTTTGTAGGTGTCTTTTTTCATTTACTGTGAGAGCCCATGTCTCACTTCCATGCAACAAAATGGGCAGTAGTGCTCGAAATATTCTGACTTTTGCTTCGACCGACACACTTTTCCTATACCAGATAGGGGTTCAAAGTATATCAAAAGCTTTCGAGTCTTTTGATATTCTTGTTTCAATTTCCTTGCCTTGTCTTTGAACTCTCGACAGATTACAACCCAGGTATGTGAATTTCTCCACCTTCCCGATCTTCTCGTTTCTAATCACAATGTCAAAATCAACATCATCAATTTCTTTCTCAGTCTTTCTTCCCGCTATATTTTCTTTCAGTTGTTTCCATGACATTATGCAAGTTTTTTCAATGTTCATTGGTAAACCAAATCGCTGTGTGACCGTGTCGAAAGTTCTGATGAACTTTTCGAGATCATCTGGACTTTCGCACATAGCTACTACATCGTCAGCATACGTCAAATCAAGGAGATCTACTTCCTCATACGGACTTGTAGCTGTGTGAAAGAAGTCTCTGATTCTGTATGCTAGCTTTATAAGGCGTGCGTAATTCAAAAATCAAGTGCTATTTTAGTTTTAGCTTCTTTATATATGATTCGATAGAGAATTTGAAGCTGATCACCAATGTCGCCTTTTTAGCATTCCCAGTGCACGTTTGCGCGTCGAAAAGTTGAAAATACGGGAAGGGTCTTAAAAGCCGAAAAACTTTCCCGTTTCGAAAACAGTTGAACACTTTTTCTCCTTTTTATTTTGAAACTCTCAAACAGCTTTTAAGACCCTTCCCGTATTTTCAACTTTTCGACGCGCAAACGTGCACTGGGAATGCTAAAAAGGCGACATTGGTG